GGGGGGTGGGGGGTGGGGGGGCTGTCCTGGGACCGCGAAAGGGCTCGGGGAGGCGCGGGGGGGTGGGGGGGCTGTCCTGGCCACAGGGACCGCGAAACGGTCGGGTTTACAATCTTCGGTGTAAAGAGAAAAAAGGGCAGCAGAGCGGCTCCCCGGGGTTTCGGGAGAGCAAACCTCAAGCTGCTCGGGGAGCCCCTGCGCAGCGTCCCGGGGGAACCTGCCTGCGAGGGCTCAGGAGCCCGTGGGAGCGGGGCGTTAGGAGCCACCTTTAAAAGCCCGGGAGCCGGCAGTCCCAGGGTGTCCCAAGTCAGGCACACGGGGCGGGAGACCAGCCGGGCCGACCAGGGACCTCCTCGTGGAGCTCGGGGGGAAGAAGACACGGCACCGTCTCTGGAGGCGAGGTCAGGCTTCGCAGGAGGATCACGGGGCCGTGTGGTTCGCACGTGCGGGGAAAAACATGAAAGGCCAAAGCTCAGCTGGAGGTGACGCTGGCCAGTGCCGCGTCAGACAAGAAAGGCTTTTTTAAGCCCCTTAACAGCAAGAGGAGGCCCAAGGAAAACGTTGGACCGACACTTGTTGAAGATGGACACCTAGCAAACAGGGGTGAAGAAAAGGCAGACGTGTTCAGTGCGGTTTTTGCCTCAGTCTTTACTAAGGCTGATAGGCCTTGGGCTGCCCGTTCCCCTGAGCTGGGGGACCACGGCTGCGGGAACAGTGGCTTTCCATTTGCGGACACTGCAGTTGTCAGGGACCGGCTGTATCGGCTGAATGTCCACAAGTCCATGGGGCCTGATGGGGTTCATCCCAGAGCACTGAAGGAGCTGGCGGATGTCATGGCAAGTCCCCTCTCGATCATCTGCCAAAGGTCTTGGGAGCCTGGGGAGGTCCCCGCTGACTGGAAGCTGGCCAACGTTATCCCAGTTGACAAGAAGGGCGTGAGGGAAGATCCGGGAAACTACAGGCCGGTGAGACTAACCTCAGCACCTGGAAAAATTACAGAGAAGAGCATACTGGGTGCTATTGAAAGGCATTTGAAGGACAATGCCATCATCAGGCACAGTCAACGTGGGTTCACAAAGGGAAAGACCTGTCTAACTACTTTGATACCCTTCTATGATAAGGTCACCCGCCCAGTGGATGAAGGGAAGGCGGCAGATGTGGCTTTTCTGGATTTCAGTAAGGCTTTTGGTCCTGTCCCTCACAGCATCCTTCTGGACAAGTTGTCCAACTGTGGGATGAGCAGGTTCACGGAGCACCGGGTGAAGAACTGGCTGGAGGGCAGGGCTCAAAGGGCTGCACTGAATGGGGCTACATCTGGCTGGAGACTGGTCACCAGCGGTGTTCCTCCGGGCTCAATCCTAGGGCCAGTGCTGTTCAATATATTTATCAACGATCTGGATGCAAGAGCTGAAGGCACCGTTAGCAAGTTTGCTGACGATACCAAGCTGGGGGGTACTGTTGACTCTCTCGAGGGACAGGAGGCCTCGCAGAGGGATCTACGTAGCCTGGGGCATTGGGCAATCATCAACGGCATGACATGTAACAAGAACAAATGCCAGATTCCGCACCTGGGACAGAGTAACACCAAGCACAAGTCTAAACTGGGAGAGGAGTGTCTGGAGAGCAGCCCTACAGAAAGGGGTCTGGGGGTGCTGGTCAGCAGCAGGGTCAATAGGAGCCAGCAGTGTGCCCTGGCAGCCCAGAGGGCAAACCGCATCCTGGGGGGCATCAAACACAGCAT